CCTACGCCAATAGCCAAGGGACTCTCAAAGGAAGGCTCTCCATCCGTCACTCAAGAGGATGTTCTCCCTACCTCGGCAACAGAGATTCTCAATAGACGAGACAGGGTGATAAGACCAGTGAAACGGTTAACTTATGATGCACCTGGGGTGACTAGTGAGGAGCCAATACATTTAGCACACAGGATTGTGGGAGCTAAAGTGGGCTTTCTGAGGCCCTTTGGAGGAAACCAATGAGTTGGTATAAAGGGAGTATGATTTGTCGGGACGCCAAATTCTCGGCTGGGGGGAGGATGTAAGCAGAGTCAGGATGAGCTCCACCCTGACATCTGGTGGTGAGGTGTGGCAAGTTGTGGAAAAGAACTTCAGGGGCTGATCTCATTTGCATAGGCACACCCACCCCGCCTAGAATGAGGCCATAGCTGCCCAAATGGTCACTTTGGCTGTTGTGGGATCCCCAGTGTCTCTGTTATTGGGGCGGGAAGAATAAATTGTTATTACCCTGATTATGGGAACTGTACTTGGCCTTTTGTTATGATGGAGGGACTCGCCATCAACTAAGTAGCACTCGCCAGGCAAGGGACATGGGTTCCAAAACTCTGTGAACTGAGAGAGGCTTGAGACAGGTATTTGTACCTGGTGGTGTGAGGGCCTGAAACACCCATTGCACCTCTGTCTGTCTCTCTCCACTGTGGAATGTCAGAGCTAATGTTGGGTCTATTAAGAGTCTTGCTACAGGTACTGTGCTGCATTCACTTTGGCCTTAGGGTGCACCAGCACTAAGGCTCCCATGAGCTGGACTCACTGAGCGCTGTGTCAAGCAGTGGGGAGCCGGAAGAACTGGAGTGCAGCGGTGCTGTTCGTGGCTAGGCTGGCGGAGTGTTTGTGAGACGGCGAGCTGTGCAGAGCGGAGCCCTGTGGGGCAGTCAGCTTCAGGACACGTAAGGTGCCCCTTACCACTTTCCCCCCCCACCCCACACAGGCACATTTTAGACAGACTGGGGAGCAACACTCTGCAGATGAACTTTTGAACTCTGGGGCTGGACTTTTTGAACTTTGGGTGATTTGTGGCTTGCTGGACTCAAGAGACGTTTGGGTTCTGGGACTCAAGAACCCGAGGGAAAGGACGTGGCCCAATTTGCTGGGGTGGGTCTTTGCTCATGGTTTGGTTAATGAACACTAGTTGGGGTGTTTCCCCAATTTAATGCTGATGTCGTTTACCTCATGTCTCTGCTACACCGAGACGCCGTGCTTGCGAGAGGGGAAGTATTGCCTCTTTGAGGCGCCCAGGGGGTGTGTAAGATTTTCCCAGGTCACTGGGTGGGGGCTCAAGCCAGTTTTGCATTTGCTTTGAGAGGGAACCCCTGTGTACTGAACCCGGCCCTTGCTGCTATCAACTTGGCCTGGCAGCAGGGTTACACAAGAACTGAAGATCACACTCAACTCACTGGAGTGTTGGAACCGTGTCCCATGCCTTGTGAGTGCCATTTAGTTGCAGGTGAGTCCCTCACTCAGGACATGCCAAGTGCAGTTCTGCTGCCCTTGGTTCACACAACAATGATAACAAGGCTTTATTGCTCCTGCTCCAATAACAAGGAGCTTGGGGATCGCACACCAGCCGAAAGTGACCATTTGGGCAAGCAATCCTATCCTGCTGAGCACCTAGGCAGGGTGGGAGTGCCCATGCAAGGGAGATCAGCTCCTGAAGTCCTTTTCCCCAGCTCACCACTCGATGTCAGGGGAGAGCTCATCCAGACTCAGCTTACACCAGTAACTCTGGAGCCAAGTGCGGTGAGCAGCTGGGCAGAGCGAAGGGGCCCTGGGCAGTGGACCCAGCACAGGGAGACGTCACCAGATCAGAGGCCCTGGCAGGCCAGACTCGGGGGGGCGGGATAAACCTGATGGGGGGGGGGCAATGCTGGGGAGAAGGGTCCCAGCACCTGCAGTCTGAGGGCATCTGGGCACTGCCAGAACAGGTCTGACCCACAGTGTCACCGCAGCGCAGCCAGGGCCTGGAAATGTAGGGAACAGGCTGTGAATCCCAGAGTCCCAGAGACCCTAGTCTGTGGTATCCCCTGGCCCATCAGGCGGGTTCCTGGATCCTTCCACCTTTTCCATTTCCCCCTCATTTTTTTGCAGTTGCTGTTTAATAAGTTGTGTGTGGTTTAAACTCAATGCAGCGATTGCTGGGTCAGGGAAGTGGCTGGTGAGCAGAGATTACCCCTCAGGGGGGACACGCTAGCTCCAACCTGAGTCTCCCATGGTCAAGTACCCCAGGGAATCTGGGCCCAGCCTTGTCAGGGTGACAAGGACTCTGCCGCATGGGAGAGGGAAGTGGAGTCCTCGAGGGCATAAGAACATAAGAACGGCCAGACTGGGTCAGACCAAAGGTCCATCCAGTCCACTATCCTGTCCTCTGACAGTGGCCAGGGCCAGGTGCCCCAAAGGGAATGAACAGACAGGTGATCATCAAGTGATCCGTCCCCTGTCACTCAATCCCAGCTTCGGGCAAACAGAGGCTAGGGACACCATTCCTGCCCATCCTGGCTAATAGTCATTGATGGACCTGTCCTCCATGAATCTATCTAGCTCCCTTTTGAACCCCATCATAGTGTTGGCCTTCGCAGCACCCTGTGGCAAGGAGTTCCAGAGGTTGACAGTGTGTTGTGTGAAAAAATACTTTCTTGTGTTTGTTTTAAACCTGCTACCTATTAATTTCGTTTGGTGGCCCCTTGTTCTTGTATTATGAGAAGGAGTAAATAACACTTCCTGATTTACTTTCTCTATATCACTCATGATTTTATAGACCTCTATCATATCCCCCCTTAGCCATCTCTTTTCTAAGCTGAAAAGTCCCAGTCTTATTAATCTCTCCTCATACAAAAGCTGTTCCATGCCCCTAATCATTTTTGTTGCCCTTTTCTGAACCTTTTCCACGTCCAGTATATCTTTTTTGAGCTGGGGCGACCACATCTGCACGCAGTGTTCAAGGTGTGGGCGTCCCATGGGTTTCTATAGAGGCAGTGGGACATTTTCTGTCTTATTATCGATCCCTTTCTTGATGATTTCCAACATTCTGTTCGCTTTTTTGACTGCCGCTGCACATTGAGTGGATGATTTCAAAGAGCTATCCACAATGAGGGCAGGCAGGCATCCGGGGTGGGGACTCAGATCCTTTCACTGTCCAATTCCATCAGGGTAGCACAGAAGCCAGGAAACTTCCCCACAAGAGTGGGACCATTCCCTGGGTACATTTGCCTCAGTTTCCCACCTTGCAGTCTGGCTGTTGGATGGACAAATGTCCCTGAATGCACACTGCCCCATCCCCTCCACGCCCCATTGGTTTCCCACGTCAGAGAAGTCCCACAGTTCAGGGGTGTCTTCGTGTGGCTTCACCTCCCGCCCCGGGGGTGCTGCGCAATGGCCCGGCTGCCGCTGCTCACACTGTCGCTGCTGTCTCTGTCCCGACCCCTTTGCCGTGGGCTCGTCCCTGGCTCTGCCCCATTTGCTGTTTCCCGCTTCTGCCTCGAGCTGCGACGCTGAGTTCTGAGGCTCTGCCAATTAGCCCGGCGCTTCGTGCGTTCCCTGGGGTGCGGGGGACCCCCCTGCTGCTGCATTCTGTGTTGTCTTTGATCACGTTGTCTTTAAACAGAGTCCCCAGCCCCGGCAGGAGAGAACACCTGGCCCCACCCCCTCGGGCTCGTCCTGGATTGGGGTCACTCGCCCCGCCCAGCGCGTGAGGGTCGATCAGGCAGGGTGAGTACGGTTCTGCCGCCTTGGATTCGTACAATGAGGATAACAACATTTCACACCCCGCGTCCCAGACTAACCCGGAACAGCCCAGCTGAGCACTGTGGTAAAGCAGGTCTGTCTGCCGAGCACCCAGGCAGCCCAGGCGTGTCAGATACGGTCTGCTCCTGAGGTCTGCTCCCCCAGCTCATCCCCACAGGGCAGAGGGGAGCCCATTCAGATCCCGCTCACATACACAGGGCTGAGTTTGTCCAGCTTGTGCTAAACCAATGGATTCCTTGAAAGGAGCTGTACTGTGCGGGTCCCCTACCTCTGGTACCCCGAACAGGCCTCATGTTTGTGGCTTTGCCAGGAGGCCAGTTAGGTTTTAAAGCTGAAATCGAACAAACTTGGTTTGCCAGTTTGGTGACTATTCTAGCTGCTATTTGAATGGGATTGAATCAGGAGAGCCCCTTTTCCTGGAGGAAAGACCTGGGGCCAGCACAATAAGGGGACACTCTGAGAGAGGCTGTATGAAGGCTGGGGGCAGAGGAGGCCCCCGTCAGTCAGGGACAGAGATAAACATGGCAGGGGAGAGGGGAAGGGATGTTCCCCAGGTCACGCAGAGGCCTCCGGCAGAGCTGGGACTGGAACCCTGAGTCCTGACTCAGTCTTTTCGGTTCTGTATTCCTGCTCTCTCCACAGGCTTTAAAATGCCGGGCGGACGGACCAGTGACTCTGCTATCCACAAAGACACTTCAGCAGGAATCCCGGGGACGCAGACAAAGGCACCGACGCCAGCCTTCTCATCAGAGCTGCTGCCCGCACCGTCTCCTGGCCTTCGTCATCCTCATCCTGAAAACATCCTGACCAGAGTGGGCCTAAAACACCATCCCAAGTGCCACTGGCAACTCCGAACGCCACCTGGGATCAAACCAAACTTGAACAGGATCAACACCAGCTCCAGCCCATCTCCACTAACGTCTTCTCTTTTACCCCCAAAACAGGACAGAAGGGATGAGCCCCCGGGGGGGGGGGGGAGCAGGATGAATGGGCCGTGTCTCAGGGGTAGCGATGTTTTCACCAGAAGGCCAGGCCCTCCTCATTCTTAATTCATTCCCTTTCCTGCCCCTGAAGCCCTAGCTCTGGGGTGCTGAGGCTGGAGCCAGGCAACACATGGAAGTGTCCAGGCCAGGATCAGGAACAGGAGGAAGGAGACACACACTGAGCTGAATGCTCCAGGGAAAGTTTATTATCACGTCACTGTGCTGAGATTGCTGAGAAGAGCAGAGCAGAGGTGCGACAGAGAGAGAAGGGGGCACAGCAGAGCGGGAGTGACACAGCATAACACAGCGATGCTTTGCCAAAGGGGCTTTGCAGCCGGGGACACAGGACCTGGTCCCCCAGGGCAGCCAGAGGGACCGAATCCCCAGGTGCAGGCAAGCTGCCTCCCCTAGGGTTTGCGCTTACAAATGAAAGAGTGTCTGTGTTCACAGGGATAATCATGCCATTTCTGAAAACCTAGAAAGAAAAACAGAAATGACCCATGGGGTGGGGCAGGGTGGGCCATTTCTGCTCGTACAGTGACCCCAACCCTGCCCCATTCCATGCCCCTTGGAGAAGATCCCAGCTCCTGTGCACAGATTGGGGCAGCCCCATCCTGCTGTAGAACTGATCAATGAAATTGTTTTTAATTGTTCACTTTATTCATATAACTTCATAAGCAAAGTTTATGAATTAAACAACATTCATTCATACCCCAATAACTGGCTAATTGGTTACCCCAATAACTGGCTAATTGAGTTTCACTTTCAATCCAATTGCTTCTTAAATCACTGAAATTTGCACTGCTTCAACATTGTAGCTTCTGCTCACTGTTTGTCATTCCTTTAACTTGCCCCAAACTCCATTTTAAAATGCTCACTCCATTTTTGCAAAACCCTGCTGTAGTCTGATTAGTGTAATTTAGATGTGGGAATGAGGTATGTACGGATGATGGAATCAACCTCCAGCCCCAGCCTGTCCTGATGAAAGAAAGTGTAAACACCCAACGGCTGAAGATGCAGACAACAGCCCTGACAAAGGAAGAGGAGTCCACCCTCAAAAGAAAAGAACAAAGGTACAATTGAAGAAACATCAAAGCCAGGTCCTAGCCTGCAAGTCATGTCTGCAGTTGACAGGGGATCAGTCACACCGGACCCAGAGGCAGAGTGACACAGCAAGACCGATAGACTCTGGATTCAAACTAAAGCCTACGAAAAGGATGGGGGAGATGGAAGCCTTTGGAGGGTAACATTCTGCTGCCAACATGGAAGGGCATCGGTGCATGCTCCACAGAGACCCAGCCCTCCCTTGTGCCCGGCTTTCCTGGCCAGTTATCCGCCACGAGCCCAAGCTACATTCAGGACTGGTAGCTATTCAGCAGCTGCAGAACATTTGGGTGTGTGTGTGTGTGTGTGTGTGTGTTAGCTATTAGCTAGTGGTTATAGATCAAATTGTGTTATAATAAACGTGACATCTTGTCTTGTCCCCTGAAACAATCCTGTGTGGTTTTGTCTGCATGACACTGCAAAGAGATGCCGAGGCTCAGCGTGAAAGGGGAGACGCCTGGTCCATGTGCTACTGCTCCTCGTGGGTGCGGGTTTCTGCTGCTGTTTGACTCTATCCCCGTCCAGTGACTGCGGCCCTGGCTGTGCCCATCTGCTGACATCAGGCCTGACAGACAGTGAGCCTGTAACTCAAGACCGTATCATGATGCGCCCGTACCAGGGGCTCCATTAAGGTTACATAGGCAGCCTTAGTCTGGCACTTTCCTTGGCTTTGGGACTTCCATGTTCCTTATATGGGTGCAATTTAGGAATAGTTTATAAAAGTAACAAAGAATTAATGTTTTAGTAAAACGTTAATCAATTATTACAGAGCCCAATGGTCAATTGGCTGCTTGTTACTATAGCGTGTGACTGTCTACCACACCCGGCTTATGGCAAGCCCAGGCCTGTCCCAGTGATAAATGGAATTGGTCTGAGCCCCGACCCTGCCCCTCACTCCCCACACCCACTGGCACTGCAGGCCCCGTGCGGACACAGCACTCAGTGATCAGGGCCAGGCAGGGGATTCATTGTGTATTTCGCTCCTCTCCTGTTCAGAACCTGTCTGCAAAGCGACCCCTCGTTATCCACTAACACTGGCCAGTCCAGAGGTTCTCAAACTTGGGATCCGGACCCCTTATGGGGTTGCAAGGTGGTTACATGGGGGCAGGGAGCTGTCAGCAATGTGGGGCTGACAGCCCCGAACCCCATTACATTAAATGACCCCTCTCCTTGTGAACGTATAACGGGGGTCACACTGAGAGGCTTGCTGTGCAGAAGGGGTCACCAATACAAAAAGGTTGAAAACCACTGGGCTAGTCACTGCCGCCGTCTGGGCTATTTGGAACTTCTTCCCCTCCCCACTGGCGCCGTGAGCACCCGGTCACGTATGCTACTGCCACGGGGTCTGCTCCCTGGCTGCAGCTTCTGCGAACGATCCCCTCCCGGAGCCAGTTTCCTTGGGAACCTTCATTCGTGCTCAGTCTGTGGACATTCCGAGATGGTGCAGCACTTTCACAAGCAGCCGGCATGTGTGCAAATGCGTGTGAGTAACACGACCCCGCAAGGGGGCCAAATGCAGCTCGGTGCCCACATCATTGTGTGGATCAGTGTTCGCAGAGCAGGGGTGCAACAGTGACTCAGAGCCATCCCCCTTTAACAGCTCAGCAGAGTCCCCCTCTGGGGCCAGGGTGTGCGTGTGTGTGTGTACACACACGTCTCTCTTGCCTGTCACTGGAGCAGAGATGTGAACTGACGCAGGGGATCTGGTAAGTAGGAGTTTTACCAGGTCAGACAAGGGGTTCTCTCCTGACTCCCCTCCCAGCATGGGACAGGAAAGAGAGAGGAGCAGGGATCGGCACCCCAGAGCGCGCTGGGGACAACTCGGATCAGTATCTCAGGACCTGTGTGGTCACAGAACTGCCAGGGTTCCCCTTGTAAGTGCATGTGGGTCTGATCCACCGACTTACCTGGACTTTCTAACACTACACAGGCCTCGTTTAGGTTCTGATTATCAGGTTGCCCGTTATCCCAACCACTGAAGCTGACCAGGGATTTATCGGCCCATCTCCAGCTTTGATTCTGCAGAGACAAAGGAGAGCAGAGCCCCTGTAAAACCCAAGATTACACAGCTAGAGACATGTCCCGGAGCCGAGGGGCCAGGGGAAGGGCACAGGCAGAGGCTGCCCAGTGACACTGGAGATACTGATCATTGCTGTGAAATGTCAGCGCTGACAACCAGGGCTACACTTACTGGCAGCTGAAGTTACACCAGGACCAGCCCAAGCCCTCGGAAGCATGAAAATAGCAAGTGAAGGGAGAGTCTCCAGCACCCCCTGCCCCTGCCATCCCCACTTCGCCGAGGGGAGCGCACCCCGACCTGCCCTCAGCTTCCACGTCCATCTCCAGCCCAGCCCGACAGGCAACCACGGCAGCGTCATCCCATGCGCTGTCCTGCAGACCCACGCTGCTGACCCGTTCTCTCCCGTGTGCACCGACCAACACGACGACGCTCCCAAAGCCCATCCACAGGAGAGTTACTCTGCTCCCCGCTGCAGAGATCACGGAGTTAGTTCTGGGGGACGGGGGCGCTGGATGAAGCTGGGGTTCGCACTGTCGGGGATCAGGGCCTGCAGCAGAATTAGTCACCTGGCAACCCAACCAGCCGGCTGCAGGCCACCGGACTCACTGCACCACCTGCCTGGGCAGGAAGGGCAGCTGGCCGGCTCTTAGCCCAGCAGCTCTCTGGCTGCTCAGTGTGTTCATGCCACGGCCGCGATCCTCCCTGTGCCTGCTGCTCCTCTTCGTGCTCCTGTCCTGCTCCAGCCCTGCTCCATGTCCTGCTCCTGCTTGTTTCCCAGCCTTGCTCCTGCTCCGTCCTGGCCGCCTCAGCTTGCTCCTGGTCCTGGCTTCCTTACCCTGACCTTTCCCTGTTATTAATTCCCCAGGCTTTTGTATGGGGCCATGTCCCTCGGTAGGCAGCTCCTCAGTGGGTGGGCGCAGGGGAGCTGCACAGGGGGAGCTGCCGAGGGGCAGAGGCCGTGCTGACATTGCCCCAGGCTCTGTTAACGCCCCGAGGGGTGGGCCAGGAGGTCTCTGTCTCTGGCATTTGATCACAGTGAGAAGTGAGGAGGCCAAGAGCAGCCGGGCGTGTTTAGCAAGTGACAGCCTGTCGGCTGCAGGGAGCCTCGTGCAGGAGTCTGCTCCAACGTCCCGTGCTCTGGTCCAGACAGGAGCGGCTGCAGCAGGGAGCGTCTGTGCGGCCCAGCAGTGCTGCCCACAGAGCTCCCCCGTCTCCCATCGGTACCACCGGCGCATTGCTCTCCGGCTTCCCGCCGGGCAGCAGGGCCAGCCGCACCCACCACGTGCCACCAGCCCAGAGCTCTCAGAAACGGCCCGTCCAGCCTCCGCAGCTGGCTGTGTGGATTACATAGAAGATTTGTCCTCATGCAAGTCCCACGTCACACACATGACCATACACAGCATCCCTGCCGGCGTCCTGCCCCGAGTCCATGGGGGAGCAGCAGCAGCTGGGCAGGGCCCCAGGGAGAGACACTAATTGATCCTGTCCTGGAAACCAGCCTCTTTGCTGGGCTAGAGACTGGACTGGAGTGCCTCCCCCCCCCGCTCCCCTCCCCCCGGCACTGGCCTGCAGAGCCCTGACTTGCAACTGGCCTGGCCCAGGGGCCAAACAAGAACCGCGGTTGCCCACTTTGAACTGTAAGCGATTAAGCCTCTGTAGCTAGGGGGTATCTGCCACCTTCCCGTTCCTGCCAGCCCCAGGACCTGCCTTGTCCTGAACCTGTGTTGGGTGGGTATCGGGCCCCACCGGGGATCCCGCTACAGGCCTGGAGCTGAAGCGCCTCTGGCCAGGGGACCCCCCCATCACTAAGCCCACCCTGAGGACGAATACACCCAGAGTGACAGCACTCCCAGGGCTCGGCTGCCCTGGCATTGTTCGCCCTGCCCATGTGGCTGCCCCTTTCCACGAGCCCTCGTCTAGACGTCTCGTCCGTGTGGGGCTGGGGCTGACTCTCATGCCGGGCGTGTACGGTCTGAGCACAACGGGCCGGTGTGGGGGACTCTGGGCGCTCGTGTAACGAATGTGAATATTAATACCAGCAGTTTATACTCTGCCCCGGGCGCTGGGGATCGATCCGGTGACTGAAAACCCAGACGGTTACAGCCCCTTTTCACCCCGTTCCAATGGAAATCCTGCTCTGGCGGCACCCCCGCCCCAAACAACCACCTCACTGAGCAGAGAAACAGAACCCGGGGCACGGGGGGCTGCCAGGGGCCCAGCGGGCACCGGGCACTCACCTCCTCAAGATCCAACAGTCCGATCCAGACGGGACTGTTCCTTCTGTGGTACCGCTTGACATAAAGAGCCAACACATTATTTTCTCCAGTACTGTGAATGGAGACGAGATGGGCCCCGTTCCCATGGCGCCGGCACTCAACCTGGGCCAAGAAGAAACAAAACCAGTTACCCCCCAGCCCCACTGCAGGGAGCAGCAGGAGCGAGTCCAGCCCTGTTCTGGGGCCCTGCCTCCCCCGGGCAGCAAGCGCTGTGAGGGGACAGGACCCCCTGTTAGCGCCTCTCCCCACCCCCAGCACCAATAGGAGAAGCCTCCCTCCTCCTGTGAATGTGGATGACAGGAACCACAGTTTCCCCAGCCCCTCCAGAGCACGAGCACAGGGAATTCCCAGCCCCATGGTCACATCCACATGCACCCAGGGCCCCCCAGCATTACACGGGGCCACAGCCCCCCCATGAGGTCCGGGCAGTGACTCCCTGGCCACTTGCCAGCCAGCAATGGGGATGGAACCGGAGACCTTCAGCACAGCCCTGCCCCCGGAGCCAAGGGAGCTGCTTTGGTAACACCGAGTAAGGAGCAGCCCCTCTGGAGCCGGGACCCCACTTGGCCCAGGCCATCCCTGGCAGACACAGCACAGGACAGGCGCGTTGGGTCCAGAGGAGATCGCGCCCCACCGGGAGCTACGTTTACATTGCATTCTGCTCCCCAGCCTGGCCAGGGCAGGTTGATCCCTCACAGCCTGTTCCCGGGGCTCTGGCTGGGGCAGTGTGAAATGTGCCAGCCCTGGGCTCCCACGCCTCCCACCAGAGCTGATTCCCCAGCCCAGCCCCGCTCACTGACTCTGATACTGAGCCTAACCCTCCCCATCCCCACAGCCTCCGGCTCCAGCCCAGCGCCCCTGAGCCCCGCTGCTTCCACCCCCCGTCGCCGCCTCTCACCTCAGCCTCTATCCAGGTTTTCTCTTGGAAGAAGTATCCATAGCAGTTGCCTTGGAAGAGCAGCCAGCCCTCGGGACAGGTCACATCTCGTGCCCCTGCGGGCAATGGTGGGGAAAGGACACCGCCATTAGAGGCTGTTTCAGAGGCACAGCCGTGGCTTTCCCATTAGCACAAATAACATTGGGTCCCGTTTGGGGCTGTGTCTGGCGGGCAGAACCCTCCAGGCCCTGGCACTGCAGGAAGAAGCTGGGTTTGCCCAGACCCCACATCGGCAGAACGGGGCCCGTGGAACCCAACCCTGAGCAGGGATCCCAGCAGGGCAGGGCCTCTGGGTTTGAATGGGGCGTGGGCTCCTTTCCCCTGGCTCGCTGGGGGGAGGAAGGAGCCAGTGCATTGGTGGGGTGGCTGATAGACCGTCCCCTGCCCCAGGGAGCCCCATGGACTCCCAGCCCTGGGAAGCAGGGGAATATGGAGCTGCCAGCCACAGTGGCCCCAATTCAGCTGAAGCCCTCAGGCAGAGGGAATTCCTTCCAGCCTGAGTTTGTCCCCCTCTCTCCTTGAGCCATGAGGACAGTGGGACCAGGGAATCTGGAGGGGAGAAATGGGGTTAGCACAGACTGGGCTAGAGAAGAAATCGGGAGCAAGGGCCCAGTTCTGGATGGAAGGATCTAGGGGGTAGGAAGAGGGAAGGGGAGAGAGGTGCCCAGGGAGATGGGGCATGAAGAGGGGGGATAGCAGGGATCTGTGGGGCTGGAACGGAGGGGAGGGGGAACACTGTGCAGGCACTGCCCTTCTCAGGGCTGGGGGCACAGAAGGATGGGGCGGAGCCGTATCCCAGCAGAGGGAGGGATGGGACAGTCTAGAGGAGAAAGGCACAGTGTGCAGGGAATGGGGCAGCCCAGCTGGGATCAGATGGGGGAGAAGCCAGGGCGGGAGCAGAGCCATGACCAGCCCTTGGAAAGGGACCCCGTGGGGACACATCCAGCCAGGGGCAGGGGACCACGGGAGGGCAGGGTGGGAGCCTGTAGCTGACGGGGGCTCAGTGCCTGTTGCCCAGGGACTGGCCCCATCCAGTCCTCATGGGAAGAGCCAACCCTGGGGGGCATTTCATCCACCTTCTCTCACTCGCTCCCTGGGGAGGGGCCGCAGGGCCTGGGCTTCCCCCTGGGGAGTGACCCCCAGCAGCAGGAGAGGAGCAGAGGCTCTGGGAGCGACAAGGAAAATGAATTTATTTCCAGAGGGGCCGGGCAGGGACTCACCTGCCAGCGAGGGGCTAAAGTTCAGGCAGCCGAGGAGGCAGAGGCTGAAGTAGGCAACTGGCCCCATCTTCTCGTTTCCCCTGGGGGCAAAACACACCAGGGAGATGGGCCACAAGAGCCTGAGACACCCTGGGAGTGACCCCACCCCACCACGGGGCATTTCCCAGGGGGAGACGCTTCGGAGCTGGGCTGTTTGCTAAGGGGCCTGGCCGGGCTGGATGGGCCCCAAGAGGGATACCAGACCCGGGGGGACTCAACTCAGAGGCCCTCGTGGGGCAGGGGAGCTGTGTGGGGCCCATCTCCCTGGGCTGGTTCCCAAGGGTCCATCAGCCTGCAGCTCCCCCTGCCCCTCCTCTCTGGCAGGGCAGGGCAGAGGCGTGGGGAGCGGAGCCCCAGGGAGAGGATGCTCAGCACCAACCCAGGGGGACAGGGTGTGAGGGCCGCGCTATGGGGGAAGGGGTGGGGCAGAGACGGCCCCAGGGACTCACCCAGGGCAAGTCCGGCCATGAGGCCCCATCACGGGGCTCAGCTGCCACCCAGTGAGGAGGAAGGAGGGACGGGAGGGGCAGGGACTCACCTGTCTGTCTGTCTGTCTGGGTGGCGGGTCTGGAGCGATGAGGATCGGAGCTCAGCCTGTACAGGGTGCTCTCTCCCAGGGGTATTTATAGACATACTGGGGTGTGGTGTGGGGGAGAGAAGGGGGGGCAGGATGCTGAACATGCAAATCAGCCCAGCTGGCAAATACAAGGATCCCAACCCAGAGCAAACAGAGACTCTGTGACCCGCCCTTCAGCTGAACTGGGACCATCAGGAAGCCTTTGTTAGGGTGAGATCAAAGGCAGAGGCTTTGGGTAACGGGCCCATCCTGGGCCTCTGCAGGAACCTGAGTCCTTCTTCCCCCCCACATCGCTGCCATCTCCCTCGACCAGGCTGCAGCCGGTTCTTTCCCATCCCGGGGGTTCAGGGAGGATCAGCCCGGGGCTCTGTAGCCCAGTCTCCTGTCTCCGGCCATGGCCAGGACCAGACCAGCTGCCTCATGGGACGGGGCAAGAATCCCAGCAGTCGACCAGGCTGCAGCCGGTTCTTTCCCATCCCGGGGGTTCAGGGAGGATCAGCCCGGAGCGCTGTAGCCCAGTCTCCTGTCTCCGGCCATGGCCAGGACCAGACCAGCTGCCTCATGGGACGAGGCAAGAATCCCAGCAGTGGCAGCGAGGAGATAACCTGCTTTGGTGAAGACGCTGCCTGACCCCCAATGCTCAGCAGGAGGGTTTATAGCCCAGCCTGAGCTCTGGGATAGTTTTATCCTCACTGTTAGAGCTCTGCATGTTCTTGTTATCCAGGTAAATCCAGCTATTGACCTCAATAATATACTGTGGCAGTGAGTTCCACAGTCTAATCACAAGATGCTTGTGAAAAGTATTAACTTTCTAGTGCCTTTCAGTATTCAACAATCCCTGTGTTCTTATGCTAGGAGATGGGCTGAACCGACATGCCTGATCTCCCTTCCCTAGAGCAGTCATTATTCTCTATATCTTTAGCAAAAAAAAAACAGGAGTACTTGTGGCACCTTAGAAACTAACAAATTTATTAGAGCAACTTCCACCTTCTCTGTATGTATGTATATATATATCTTACTGTCTGTTCCGTTCTATGCATCCGATGAAGTGGGCTGTAACCCATGAAAGCTTATGCTCGAATCAATTTGTTAGTCTCTAAGGTGCCACAAGTACTCCTGTTCTTTTTGCAGATGCAGACTGACACGGCTGGTACTCTGAAATATATCTCTAGCGTGTCCCCTGTCCTGCGTCACCTCTGTAAGGTAACCATCCCAATCTGTCAATCTCTCTCCATGTGGGCATCATTCCACCCCGGAGCTGACCCAGACTGCACACAGCATCCCGACGAGGCCACACCATTGATTTATGTAACAGCACTGTAATAGGAGACTACACAAAAATGAGGAAATTAAAAAGGTACAGCGACAAAGTGAAATCGCGGCAAGCTGCATGGAAAGACACCATAATAGAGGCGCGACTTAAATGCACACCCCAAATTTAAAAACATAGTAAGAGAACCAAAAAAGTGCCATCACGGCTAAACAACAAAGTAAAAGAAGCTGTGAGAGGCAAAAAGGCATCCTTGGAAAAGTAGAAGTTAAATCCTAGTGAGGAAAATGGAAAGGAGCATAAACGCTGTGTCAAAGTTTGACTCAGACTCACAATTTATCAGACCACTCTGTTTTATTAGCAAAGCTGCTCTGCTAATACATTTAGAAGTGAGCCACCCGAGTGGGGCTTGTGTCTTTTAATTTATACAGTTTTTTGGAGAACAAGTTACAGAGAAGTTACAGACAAAAGAAGAAAAAGATTTTAGTCACCACCCTTCGAGATCCCTGAGACCAGTCACATATCTTCAGTTACCTGCCACCCTTAACAATCTCCTTTAACAGCTTCCAGTTAACTTAACTAATTGCCCTTCACACCTTCCATTCTGATGCCTGCTTCTTAGACATGCTGGCTCTATCTTAATTGCTTCTCCATTCAAAAGCTAACTGTCCCTACGTGTGCTCCCTCAGATACTTTGTAACATGTTTTGGCATGCCCTCTCATATACAATGTATCCAGCATGTCCCCTTATACAACGCTATATTTACACAATGTTATACTTCCACAGCTGGCAAACGAAGTGTAAAAATGTAATTAGGAAGGCCAAAAAAGAATGTGAAGAGCAGCTGGCCAAACATTCAAAAAGTAACAATATTTTTTTTTAAAGTACATCAGCAGCAGAAATCTGCTAAACAACCTGTGGGGCCCCTGGACAATCGAGACGCTAAAGGAGCCCTCAAGGACGGTAAGGCCTTTGCGGAGAAACTAAATGAATTCAGTGCGTCGGCCTTCATGGCTGAGGGTGTGAGGAAGATTCCCAAACCTGAACTATGCTTTTTAGGAGACAAATCTGAGGAACTGTCCCTGTCACGGAGTCCCCGGTGATGCTCTGGAACTGATCCCCATGAAGCCAGGCAGGACTCTGGGGAAGTCTCCTCTCTGGGAGCAGCCTGTTCGCAGGACACACAGCTCACCCGGCTCCACCTTCCTGGATCTGACCTCGGAGCATTCAGCCTCCTCTGCCCCTCCGTGTGCTTCCCACAGTGAGTCTGCCCAGGCGGGGTCCTGGGGAAGCCAGAGGGTCCTGCCCCCCAACTCCGCAGTCAGACGGGACTCTCAGCCAGCCAGTAAAACAGAAGGCTTATTAGACGACAGGAACATGGTCTAACACAGAGCTTGTAGGTGGAGAGAACAGGACCCCTCAGCTGGGTCCATTTTGGGGGGCAGTGAGCCAGACAACCACGTCTGCCCTTCACTCCATGTCCCCAGCCAGTCCCAAACTGAAACTCTCTCCAGCCCCTCCTCCTCTGGGCTTTGTCCCTTTCCGGGGCCAGAAGGGCACCTGAATCCTTTGATCTCCAACCCTTTAGCTCTCACCTTGCAGGGGAGAAGGGCCCAGGCCATCAGTGGCCAGGAAACAGGGTGTCGGCCATTTTCTGTGTCCAGACCCCTGCACACACCTGCCCTCTAGGGCTCTGCAACGATCATACACCCTTACCCCACCCCCTAGATACTTAAGAACTGCCTAGGGGAAACTGAGGCACCCCCACAATATTCAGAGGAAACATTAAGAACAGTCCTGCTTTGCTATAGTCCCAGATTGAGGTGTCATTAGAGGAGGTTTTGGAACAAATTGATAAACTAAACAGTAATAAGTCTCCAGGACCAGATGGTATTCACGCAAGAGTTCTGAAGGAACTCAAACGTGAAATTGCAGAACTACTAACTGTGGTCTGTAAACTATCATTTAAATCAGCTTCTCTACCAAATGACTGGAGGATAGCTAATGTGACGCTGTAACAACACGGCCTCTGGCAGGACACAACTGAGAGTATCAATTCAGGACAAATTGCTCAGAGCAGGGCAGTCACAGCCCAAGGCTGGTGGTTCTCCACCTCTAAGGCAAACCAAACCAGCAAAATAGGGAAGTCTTCAGTCTCACCCCACTGGCTAACCACAAGTCACACAAGCAATTCCCTTAGACACTCCAGTTTCCCAGTATCACCACCAGGGCCACTTGTTATGGGGACGAATGGTTATGAAAACCAACACCCCAGTAAAAGAAAAAAGGTTCCCTCAATCCCAAAGGACCAAGCCCCAGACCCAGGTCAATATACCAATCAGATCTTACCCACAAGTCACGCTGTTGCCAAATCAGAATCTAAAATCTAAAGGGTTATTCATAAAAGAAAGAAATATAAATGAGGGCTAGAATGGGTGAAATGGAATCAATGACAGACAGTGATGGCCAAGGTCTTGGTTCAGGCTTGCAGCAGTGATGGAATAAATGGCAGGTTCAAATCAAGTCTCTGGAGAACATCCCCAGCTGGGATGGGTCCTTCCGTCCTTGGTTCAGAGCTTCAGTTTGTAGTAAGGTTCTTCCAGAAGTAAGAAGCAGGATTGAAGACCAAATGGAGATCCTGCTTCTGCCCTCTATAGTCCTTTTGCCATGTGGCCTCTGCTTCCTTTATTCCAACCACAAGCCGTGGAAAAAACACAGAGTTCTGTCCATAGGCAGGTCCCTGCATGCCTGGCTGAGTCCCAAGGCATGTCTGCCTTCTCTCAATGGGTCAGTTGTGTAGCTGATGGTCCTTAAGGGGCCATCAAGCAGGCTAGGCAGAGCTGACCCCAACTTGGCTGGGGCGTCACCCAGAAGCAGAGCACAGGTTTGAAATACAGACAGTACAGAGCCAATATTTATAACTCTAAACACAAAAACGATACATGCATACAGATAGCATAATCATAACCAGAAAATCATAACCTCCTCATAGACACCTTACTTAACCTCCTTTGTACAAGATTTCATGCCACTATATGACCTTGGTTGCAATGATGGTCTATACAGTCACAGTTCATGTCAATAACGTCACAGGCGCCAAATTTTAAAAGGAGCTCCAGAGGTGATCCCAGCAATTACAGGCCAGTTAGCCGGACTTCAGTACCAGGTGAACTGGTTGAAACTCTAGTAAAGAACAAAATTGTCAGACACAGAGATGAACATAATTTGTTGGGGAAGAGTCAACATGGTTTTTGTAAAGGGAAATCATGGCTCACCGATCTACTAGAATTCTTTGAGGGGGTCAACAAGCATGTGGACAAGGGGGAGCCAGTGGATTAGTTTGCTTAGATTTTCAGAAAGCCTTTGACAAGGTCCCTCGCCAAAGACTCTTAAGCAATGTAAGTTGTCATGGGAAGGTCCTCTCATGGATTGGCAACTGATTAAAAGATAGGAAACAAAGGGTTGGAGTAAATGGTCAGTTTTCAGAATGGAGAGAAGTAAATAGTGGTGTCCCCCAGGAATCTGTACTGAGCCCAGTGCTATTCAACTTATTCATAAATGATCTGGAAAAAGGGGTAAACAGTGAGGTGGTAAAATATGCAGATGATACAAAACTACTCAAGACTGCAAAGAGCTACAAAAGGATCTCACAAAACTGATGGAACTGGGCAACAAAATGGCAGATGAAATTCAATGTTGATAAATGCAAAGTAATGCACATTGGAAAACATGATCCCATCTATACATATAAAATGATAGGGTTTAAATGAGCTGTTATGCTTCAGGAGAGAGATCTTGGAGTCATTGTGGATAGTTCTCGGAAAACATCCACTCAATGTGCAGCCGCAGGCAAAAAACTGAACAGAATGTTGGGGATCATTAGGAAAGGGATCGATAATAAGACAGAAAATATCATGTTGGCTCTATAGAAATCCATGGAACACCCACACCTTGAACACTGCCTGCAGACATGGTCACCCCATCTCAAAAAAAATACACTGGACTTGG